TCCCAGTTGGCTAGTTAGCTCAATTGGCAGAGCGCTGCACTAGTATCGCAGAGGTCAGTGGTTCGAATCCCGTACAGGCCTGATTTTTTTCAGGTCTGATTTTCGCTATTGCATAAATAGCGCTCTCTACTGCGAGGATCGTGCATCGTAGGTATTTAATACCGCAGTTCAAAATATTTGAACTTCATATATATATTGTATCTGTTATAATGATAACACAACGTAGGTAAGAAAGACAGTCTTCGTCTGTCGCCTTTTGATAATGCAAGAAGTATCATGCCAAGCAAACATTGATCAATATGGTTAGGTTTGCATGTTACATTATGGACGCCAAATATACACAGCAAAACTGATGCAGGAATTTACAAACTCAGTTTATTATCTTTTGAAAAATGTTTGGAAATTCGGAAGCTAATTGTTCGCAGCTATTGCACCTTACCAAAGTAGGCACTTTTTGATGGTTGAGCGTATTTCAATGAGAAATAGTAAAAACTCTCTTCGTCTTTTCTCAAATTGAAATCGTAGCATGACTGATGTCGTTGGAACTTTTTCTCTGCACTTTATTTTAGTAAAGGTGTGAAAAGAGGTGTTATTATAGATTTCAGGAAATGCCCAAATTGCCAAGAGATTTAAAAGTTCCACCACGGAGTTCTCGCTTGTAGCAACTGTAGTCCATGTGACTTAAAAACTGAGGAATAAAGAGGGAAAGTTTCTGAAAGAAACTTGTGTGCTGCGTCGGGGGGGTAGTATAGCAAGGTAATTTGGGTTTTATTAACTGAGTGGATGATGCATATTAGCCACCCTAAAGAGTTAAAATGCTGGCGTTTCGAGCGTTAGCCCTTCGTCAGAGCGAAAGATGAGGGTGGAGGAGATATTCCTTAAAATCTAGTACGCGAAGAAAAGTTAGCAAAATACGACTTCAAAAGCAGACTTTCTTCGTACTTTAACTTATTTGAAATGTTGTAGAGTTATCGTTTAAAAAGAAAGGAGGAGTAAGGTAGTTCCTGAATAAAAAAAGGAATTGAATTTTCTTTAAAAATCAATTATAATGGAAAGCTTTCGTAATTGGTGAAGTGATACATCCCTTGATTACTTACCGAGAGAGGATATGTGGCGAACACACCAGTACGTAACGGAAAGCCCACACTGTCTTACTGTAGCTCGAAGCGAAGGTCAAAATATTGCAAATGTTTTCGACTGATAATAATTTGTTCAATAGAGTGATTCTTAATGTATGACTTTGAAATTAGGTTTTAAAAAATGTGTCAAACTATTCCTCCTGCTTGAGAAACTCATTGGGTAATCACTTCTTTGAATAAGCAACGTAATATTCTGGCAATAGCCAAGCTATCGACTAGGAGATTTCGCTGTTTTAGAGATTTTTAAGATAGCAGCAATTGCTATTTTAATTTTTCTGAAGCAATATAGTGCACTTTCGTGAGTTA